AGCCATCACAGTCTCCCAATACATATTGACATGTGAACCAACAAAACAATAATAATGATTGCCTTTATAGACTAAACGTTTTCTTTCCTCATTGCTTGACAGCTCACCGTAGGCGCACTGGTCAAATCTATCATCACTTTGATTCAAAGGCAGCTTACGTGAGATGTTTGAAGTGAGAGAATGTCGTAGGGTTATAACCACCCCTTACAGATGTTGAGCTCCAGGAGGAGAAGGTGGAGGAGGAGGAGGAGGAGGAGGAGGAGGAGGAAGGAAAGTGATGCTCGCTCATCTTGTGGTTCTAGAGGAAACTTACCAGTAGCAGTCTCTTTGAAAGGATGTTGGGCGAAGGAAGTGACTCCAACCTAAAAAAAGGTCAAATGGACGAGGAGGACAGTCAGTTGAGTCAACCTTGAGTCCTCCCTGAAATTCGCCCCTCTTCTTTGCACGTTTCATGATGCGAATCTCCCACCACCAACGCTGAAGAGGAAATAGTGAGTAAAAGAGAAGAGAGGGGGGGAAGGGGGAGCGAGAGCGAGGGAACAAGGGGGATGGATAAGGGGAGGTGCGAGGATATTCACGATATGTGACACGGCAGAGGAAGGGAGTTAGCAGAATGAAGACGAGAGCTGCAGAACATCTTGTGACCTGAGGAACTTGCTCTGTTGAGATTGCAAACGTCTCAAACCCTTCAGTTCTCTTTATCATCGACCCGTTCTTCTCAAATTGCGGCGGCGAATTGATCTTTGCCTGCGATATTCGTCACCAGCTACTGCTCCTGCTTCTGCTCCTCCTCTTCTTCATACTGTGACTTTCACTGCTGTAGGTGCTGTTCGGATTGCTACGTTTCTATCACCATGATCTCCATCATCGTCATCTCAACATCTGACATTCATATCTCTATCATTCACATCGTCTGATATTAATATCTCTGTCATTCACATCGTCTCGATCATCACGTCTATGATAATCATCTACATCTATGACAACATTTTACGCCTCCGTCCTCGTCATGGAATTTCGTCTGTCGTGAGCTTTACCTCTTCATTCCATCTTATACATGGCCTCCATTTCGCCGTCATGAATCGCAACTTCACCTTCCTGTGCAGTTTTCAGTCGCGCGGGTCACGATAAATAATCAAACGACTTGTCGAAATGCGAGAAGAAATGTTCCCTCCAGCCTGCAGGCAAGACGTTCTTGGCAATCTGAGAAAGGGATTATCATAGCAAGAACGTCTGTTGAGATTTTGATCACCTCCTCACATTCCAGCTTCACCAACAGACGCGATCTGTTCGTCAAGAGTGCGAAGGTGTCAAAAAGAGCGCACACATGACAAGACAGGAGATTCCTCCCACACTTCTCACTTTCTCTCTGACTTTTCAATCTTTGCTTGTGATTTTGACATATTGAGCGCCTTCAGCACAGCCTTGACGAATAAATTGTCAAACGAAGAAAGAGAGGAAGAGGGGGAGAGGGAATCAGAGATGTAAAGGAGGACACAATGAGCAACGTACCGCTTTCTTCGCTTTTTCGTCAATGCCAGAGATGCAAAGTGTAGGATAATGCTCAAGAACTTCCGAGGACGATGAAGACGAAGACGAAGAGGAGCCCATACTTCTCTTGGCAATCTTTGACAATGTCAATCTCAACCTGGCGCAAGGAACAGTCTTGTACCTGTAGCATGACCTTGTCTCCTTTTATCATCTTTCCGTTCATCGTCATAGCAAAGCTAGCTGACTCGTCCTGTTGAAAAGTCTCAACAACTTTGCCACTTGTCAGGCGCTTCTCTCACCCATTCAAACTCCACGATGGCGAAATCATTGATTTTCGGAACCCTCTTCTCCACCCTCCTCTTGGATCGGATGATCCTAATGTATCGGATGGGCCCAAAAGGTGAGAAAGTCTTGGCAAGATGCCTTTTCTTCACTCTAACGGTCATGTTCAAGTCAGCAAGCACGTCAACAGATTCATCTTCGTCTTCTCACTTCTTTGACAGCCCGATGACTAGCAGATCTCCTTTCCGCGTCTGAACCTCCTCGACCGTCGTCTCGTTGGCTGGGAGAAGCTTTGGAGAGGACGTTGATTTCTGCGTGAAGGCAGTCAGGTGGAGAAGGAACGTGTGACGGTGACAATGAACTGTTGGGAAGGGAAAGAGGAATTACTATGATAAGAGCGCTGACCGAACGTGCAACGATGATGATGATGATGATGATGATGATGATGATGATGATGAGGAGGAGGAGGAGGAGGAGGAGGAGGAGGAGGAGGAGGAGGAGGTGGTGGTGGTGGTGGTGGACGAAGACGAGGACGAGGACGAGGACGAGGACGAGGACGAAGCAACATCAACAGCAGCAGGGGCAAGAGCAGGAGCAAGACAAGGCAAAGGAAGAGAGAGAAAGAGGGGGGGGGTTCAAAGAGACAAGAGATGATGGAGGTTCCAACTTACATCATGAAGTAATGCTCTCGTGTTGTTCAATTTGTTCCATTTGATTGACTTGGTCGGTGCTGAAAGAAATTAGCAAGAGAGAAAATACTCACGATCGTGATAACAATCACTAACAGCTCCTCTATCATGATTTCCATCATCAACATCGCAACCACACCAAGTTTAACAATCATAATCTTTTGAAATCATTATCTCAATGTCCATGAATACAACAACAATAAACATCATCCTCTACATCTCCATCCTCCTCGTCCTCCTCCTCCTAATCCTCCTCCTCCTCCTCCTCCTCCTCATCATCATCATCATCATCATCATTTACAACAAAACATCATCATCATCAACAACAACAGCAAGTCATCATCGTCTCACGTAAATTCAACGGACGCCATGGCTGGCGAGCTTCTTTGTCAAGGATGGATTCGAAGTAATCTGCTCCAATCCTTCCGGTGAGAGACGGGAGGTCTTCCTCTTGCCACGTCATCTGCGTGTAAGGTGAGAGGGGAAAGCCGGAAGAATGCGTGAGGGAAGGGCAAAGGCAGGAAGGAAGGGAAGAAGTCAGGAGGAGGAGGGGAGGAGGAGGAGGAGGAGCGGGGGGAGGGGGATGGTGATGGTGATGGTGATGACGACGACGACGATGATGACGAGGAGGAGGGAGGGGGAGGGGGAAGAGGAGGGGACAGGAAAGTAGGGAGATCCTGAGGCGTATCTGCAGTCGCACCTTGAGGTATATCCTCCCGTAACTCATCAGGATTCCTTCCCTTCCTCTCTTCTCGGGGCCGTTTTCCATGCCCCGTAAGACACACTGGAGTTCGCCTTTTTCCCTCTTCTGCCACAAGACGCCCTCTATCGTCTTGTTCTCGAACAGGCGACTGATGCCCTTGGAGTAGGATTGATTGACATGCTCTGGGCCCACTGAGTCTTCATCGTAGATAAGTACAGGGGCAACAATGGGGGAGGGAGGGAGCTGAAGACGGCAGAAGCAGCAGGGTCATCACATCAAGAGCAAGAAGAGGAGCAGGGGTGAGTACAGGTCCAGGAGCTAGAGAAGGAGGAGGATTGAGGAGGAGGAGGATTGAGGAGGAGGAGGAGGAGGGGGAACGGAATCTCTTTCAAGATAGGATCTCTGCAAGATAAAGCTGACGACAGCAACGGCCTGATGACTCACCGGCAGGGAAAAATCTCAATCTCACTGTCACAGGCTTCAGAGTCTTAACGTCCTCGACGTCCCGGCTCGAGATCTCCAACCCAAGGAACAGAGTTGCGCTAGACTGATACATCTGAATCAACCAGGGCCCGACCAAGAGGTTGGAATGAGACGGGAATCGAAAGATTTCCTGCTTCTCTCCGTCACGACACCTCGGAACCAAAGACACCCTCACCTTGTTCGATGATTGTTTGAGCCCTCGAGAAGGCTGTTTGCTAAGTTTCGATGAAGTCAACTTCCGCTCTTTCACCTTCTTCTTCTCTTTCTCCCTGCCCTTCGTATCGAGTCGTCTCCTCTTTGGCAGCGTCTCCGACCGGCTCTCCTCCTGGATATCGTCGCTCACCTCCACCTCTTGTGTGTGCGAAGCTGAAAAATTCTGATGATATGCATGTCATGGCGATGAAGGTGAGCAAGAGCACGTACAGATTCTCCGCGCACAGATCCTCTTCGGCCAAGCTTCTACAAACAGCATCAGACTTTGTTCACTCTTCCCCTTCCCCCTCACCGGCGGGCAGGCGGGTCCAATCATAACCTCCTCCTCCTTCTCCTCCTCCTCCTCCTTCACTTCCTCTCTGCCATCTCGGATCGACAGGTCACTCGATGTGTCCGACATGTCCCAGTCGTCCTCCTGAGACCTCACTACCTTTACTCCGCTCTCTGTCACGAGCTTCTGATCCTTCCACACCACCCTCTGCCTCGACCCTCGCTGGCCCTTCACTGTTGCCACCTTCCCGTCCCTCACTCGTTGCAGGACGTGGTCATACGCTCGCTGCGACAGAACGATCGATCTAGCTCGCGTGCTTGTTTCTTGTTTCACATCCCTTGCGCTTGTCTCATGCTCAGAACCTTCTCGGCTCTTCAGCGGTATACGACTCCTTGGGGTCTTGGACTTGCGAGCGGAGAGCAGGGAGGGAGAGACGTCCTTCATCTCGGGGGAGTGTCCCTGCAACCTCCTGCTCCTCTTCACTGTTGGTGTCTTGGGTGAGTCTATCCCTCCTCGAAGCCTCAGGCTGCATCGCAGCATGGGGTGCGCTGCTTTCAAAGGGTTGTTGCCGCATGCGTGCGGGGCGACAACCAGATCACTGTTGACCCCTGATCGTGTGAGAACCAAGAAGTTCGTGTGAACAAGGAAGAAGAGGAAGAGTCTTAGCAGACAAGATCTCTCTCGTGCAGGCATGCTCTCTCCAGCTCCAGCCCATGCACACACACCAACAACCTGTCTCAACTGCAAACCGGCTGTTTCAATCTCGGATCATGAAGAAGTCTCCGTGCTGATCGGTGAAGGTGTGGAGGGCTCAGGTCTCTGCAAGGTCTTCCACTATCTGCCTCTCATCCCTCCTCCTCCTCCTCTCCGCCCCTTCGACTCCATGCCCCCTCCCGCCTCTTTCTCGCCGCCGGCATCGAGGTATCCGGCCGCATCTCCTTTTTTATGTGTAAAAGGGTTTTCTTGAAAATTACAGCCGGGTCAAACAGCTAGCAAGATCCGGCCGGCGTCAAATGGTGGAAGTTGGAAGGGATGGAGGAGGAGGAGGAGGAGGAGGAGAGAAGAGAGACAGAAGAGAAGACTGGCATGAGAGCATGGCAAAGTCGAGCTGACTGGATGACGGTCAACTCAAGAAGGCAGGATAGGATGTGGAGGATGTGTCCTCGGAGAGTAGTTGTCGTTGCCGTGCTCCTGTTGATGTGCAGGAGCTGCTTGGCAGCGGATCTCATGAGGCAGAAGAGCATTCCTCCAGGTGATCTTGAGATGCTATATAGAGTTCGATCCTTCTGATCCCTTTCCCTCTTGCACCTTCTCTACGGACTCCCTTCCCTCCCTTGTGTACGTTTTGGCTACGTAAACGCTCCACTTCAGGATTAGACGCAGTCTGGATGGAACTGGTCCCGCTGGTTTCCTCAGCCATGTCGAGGTTAGCGACTCGGAAGGCTGCGACATGCTCTGAATCATCTCCACCAGCAAAGACACCGAGCTCGAAGTCAGGTTCGGCCTAGGAGAGTAAGTCTTTCAACTCAACGAGGAGGAGGAGGAGGAGGAGGAGGAGGAGGAGGAGGAGGAGGAGGAGGAGGAGGAGGAGGAGGAGGAGGAGGAGGAGGAGGAGGAGGAGGAGGAGGAG